GGTTTTTCGTTTTCTGATATCCGTTTTGTTGGTTTGTATTCTCTTATTAATGAGTTTATGACGTGTGCCGGAAAATTGTTTCTAGTGAGGATGTTTTTGATTTTGAGTTTGTTTTCAACATGGAATTGTTCGTCACTAATGTTTAGTACTCGATGTATTAAGTTTTTTGCTGTGTTGATTATTGTACGTTTTGTGTGTTTTGGATAGTAATTTATTAACCTTCCAGAAGCGGTAGGCTTCTGGTACCAGTTTAGGTGGATTTCGTAATGTTTTCTTATTAATAGTGCATCTAAATACGGTACTGTTCCTTCTTTCTCTTCTTCGAGAGTAAATTTTATGGATTTGTTAAAGCTGTTCAATATTTTTAATGTTTCTTGTATTGAATCTTCTTCAATTATTGCGAATAAGTCGTCTACGTACTTTGTCAATATTTTGGGTTTCTTTGGAAGTGCATTTAAACAAACGTCAAGTAGGGATTCCATGACCAGATCTGCAATAATTGGGGATGCCGGAGAACCCATTGGTAATCCGACTTTTTGTTTGTATATTTTGTCTACATATTTAAAGTATCTATTTTCTTTTATGCAGAATTTCAAAATGTTCAGGAACATGGTCTTTGGCATCTTAGTATATTGGTTTATTTCTTCCCATCTTTCTTCAATAATGTTTAGTCCTAAATCTACTGGTATACTCGGAAAGAGTGAGACTACATCGAAGGAGACCATCTTTTCGTTCTCATTAATCGTCAAGTTTTTAACCTTATCCCTAAATTGCACAGCATCTTTAATATTATAAATAGAATTTTTTTCAAGTTTTTTAAAATGTTTACTATATATTTGTACAGTTCTATTAATGGGGAATTGATTGATGAACAAAATCTGACATATACGACAAAACCAAATATACCATTGCACACAGTTCTAACAACACAACAAAATAATTATTTAGCAAATTGAATTGGAAAAACACAAAAAATTATACGTCGGCACGACGAAAAACAAATTAAAAACTCGAATGTCAAGACACAAGTCGGACATAAAATTAAGAAATACCAACATAATACAAAAAACAGCACTGTCCGAACACTGTAAAATACACAATCATACCCCTAACATTGACGATGTAAAAATACTGCAAACGGAGAATCATTACAACAAGAGACTAACACTAGAGATGCTCCACATAAACAGTCTCCTAACAACAACAAGAATAAACAGCAAAACAGACACTGACAACGCAGCCTACTGCTACAGGCATCTCCCACAGGGTAGAGATCGTGCAATAAATAAATACTAATCAGTGCAATAATGTAACTTGACGGAGTAGAAACGCTACGCTAGCTTTAAGTTAATTATAAAAATTCAATGTAGTATTTATACACATGTAAGCGATCTTTGTTCTGTGTTAATATACCTGTTAGTATTAGAAAAAACTGTGATATAGTTAATAAGTCGTACTTTGTTTATTTTTTATTGTAGGACTATTTCCCTGAAGATGAAATTCATTGAATTTCGAAATATTGGAAGATTAAAATAAATATAACAACAAAGACCTCAAGCTCGAAAAACACTTGTTTCATTAAAATATAAAAAGGTCGAATAAAAAGGAAAAACATTATTTTTTTTTTGATTTTTTTAGATGTTATACTAATGAAGTTATTAAACTAAAAATTTTAAATGAGTGTATAAATATCTATCTTTACTTTTTTTTCGAAATTTATATTAAGAGAAAATGAAAAAATAATAATTTTGTGTAGGCAGTTAAAATCTTTAATTAAGTAAAATATGGTATTGTTCGGTAACATAAGTTATTGGATGAAGGGATAAGTGCATTATTATTTTAATAAAATTCAATGCTATGATTGATTAAATTTAAAAACAACAAAAATTTATTAACTACCCACACGTAATTAAAATTGTTATAACCTCCACCATGGAAGGGAGGGTATATTAAATGTATCATTTCGTTTGTAACGTCTCTAAATATTTGTCGAAGACCCCATTAAGTATATGTATTCATGATCAGCATAAAATTCTGGATGGGGGAGGACTCCGAGGACGGCATTCATTTTATAATTGCTAATAGCATCTGCGACTGCATCGGTATGAATGCCACTCAGACCTGCCTGATAGACTTCTTGATCTAGAGGTACTCTCTTGTAGCGTTGGACCTCCCTCTCTAGATCATGTATGTCCTTCCTGACACGCCTGGGTGCGGGAGATTTATCCACCATATGATGGTTGGGATGACTCTCACGGTGACACCCAAGCAGGTACTGCAACGAAAGCATATAGCTATGCTGACGTAAGGGAAGAACCTTCGCCTCCTCATGTAGATGGTCCACTGGTGTCATGAGAAGGCACCCTGTCACAGTTCTCAGGGCAGCGTTCTGGCAGGTCCACTGCGTAGCACTAGTATTCACAGACCGACCTATTGCGTTATAAGAGGTCACAAGGCTTCTTTGTCCGCACCCCCACGACCTGCACATTCAGCTGTGTTCTCATATCCGCAGACCATATGGTGAAGGGTGTGGCCGTTGATTTCGTGGCAGATATTTTCATTTTCCTTGTGTGGAAGTATGCTGCAATCTAAACGAGATAGGGGTTCAGCCTTTCACATATATCATCGATCATTGGGCCCGACGCCATGATTGTACAATCATCCGCATACGTTACGATCTCAATGCCGTCTGGAGGGCGAGGAATTCCGGAAAGGTAGAGGGTAAACAGTTCCGGAGATATCACCTCACCCTTGGGAACTCCCTGTTTTACTCTACGGGTTTTGGACTTTTTGTTCCGGAATTCCACGCACGACTGGCGTCCATAAATATAGTTGATTATCCAACGTTTCAAACTTGGCCGGAGGGTGGTTCTCTGCACGTCCTCAAACAGTATGGCATGATTGGCCGTATCAAATGTCTTTGATAGGTCAAGGGCTATCCACACACGGCTTGTTCTGGTTCAGTCCTCTACTAATATGTGTGAAAATGGCGTGTAATGCTGTGGACGGAATCCGTGCTGGTGGTTGGCAACTGATGACTTAGCGTTACGGATGACATTTTCATTTTCCAGGGTTCAAAAACGACTTAACCGTTACCCACACCCAACATCCACCCACCCGAGTAAGCATATCGGTTTCAATGTCCAAACACTCCAGATGGTCTAGCCACTTCTTTCTCTTATGCTCCTGTACCAACCGGTTGACTTCCACTGTCAAATCACTGATTCTAGGATCAGTATGGTTGGTACGACGGAGATCATCACGCTCGTTTGCTAATCCCGCTGCCTCTGCTGTGAAGTTTGAAGTTCACAGCTATTAATCGGCGGGATATACACATTAAGCACATCTACCTCGGCAGTTCCACACTTGACTGCTACCCCCATTCATTCGATGTATGGGTCACTAAGGACTAGCTCAAGCGAGATAGGTCTGTACTGAACAGAAATGGTGTAACTGCAATTTTCATTCAGCTTGGTTTCCTGCACCGCTGCGATCTTAATATTCCTGCGACTCATAAATTCCACTATCTCATCTATTTTGCCTCGGAGTCCGTTGCAATTGAATTGCAATTGTTGGTTGCTGTTCTGGAGACTGCGGTGGAGTTCCATACTCCGACGACGTCGCTGATGAGGACGACGAAGAAGTGGACTCGTTGGGGATTACGTTACTGCAGCAAGTCGCAACATAATCCCTTTCGCTGTAGTCTCGCAAACGCCTTAGTCCGGAACAGTTCTTAAAGTGCACCCATTCTCTACATCCATTACATCGCACAAGTGCTGCTTCCAACACAAAAAATAGACAAACACGAACATATACATTCTGGGTTGGCAGCCACTGGCCGAAACTGTGATGTTGTTGTTTCGGGTCAATCCTGCTGTCGAGGGATTGAGGGATGTGGGATTATAATTGTTATAAGCGGAATACTTAAACTTATTATACTCCTTAATGAATTTAAAACATTGCAAAACAAAAAATATCGTATGTATTGGTTTTTTACTTTTGGAAAATATGAAACAAAACGAGTACGAACGTATAAATTCTCATTAAAAACAAATAAAATTTTTGAAAAAAGGAATTATTTTACAATGTATTACGAATAGTGTCCTATGAACGGGTTAATTCGTGCACCTAATTCTGAGAGCGAACAACACGATTGAAAGTGCAATGAGAACATAGCATACATTTCCATTTAACGAAATTACAATCGTTGGATGAAAACACCTACCTGTAAAATATTAGATAGATCTTACTATAAACCAATATATTTATAATAAGTAGAGATTACAGAGATGAAAAGGTTAAAACTCAAAGAAAAAGTAATCTTGTCAAATAGGCTCGGTGTTACATTAAAAATAAATGTAAATGACTCTTTCCGTACTTTGAGTAGTGGTTTGTAATATTCTCCTGAGTAAGAACTGCCAACTTAAAAGAAATTTTCAAGAATAAATAAAGGTGTTCTACCCGACCGATATTCGCCATGTGTTAGAAAATCTAAGTCAATTATTGAACCCGAGATCTTTAAAGAAGAAGTTTTGTCAAAATAGAAATAAAAGTGGTCTGATGCAATACAGGAGGATATAAATGCAATGTTGAAAAATTAAACAATGGATTCAGCGCGTCTTGGAAATACAGTACTGATTATGATGAAGTGTTTGCTCCTGTACCAAGACAATAAATATTTCGCATTTTTCTTAGAATTGCGGGACAAAAGAAAATTAATGTTTTTCAAAAGAAGTGAAGGGTCACAGAAATAAATTAGCAAAACTTGAACCCAACAATTTCAACCAACGTAAAATGTCAAAGAAAAGAAATTTAAAAGACCCATTGACACGAAATTTACTCTGCCGAGGAGTAGGTTGATAAGAAGAGCATGTAATGACTTTATTTGCAGTCTGAAGAAATTCTTGCAGATTGACTTCATCAAAGTTCGCACTTAAGCTTAGCAATTTGCTCTGACGTACCAATAATACAACAACGCATATAATTTTTAAATTACTTACCTGTTGATGGAATTATTGCTATTAACATAAGATCCAGGCTCAGAGGCTTCTGATATCTGTCCAAAATATTCTATCTGTGTAAAATAAGGAGGGTTGTCGTTTACATCCAATACATGTATTATTATGTTATGGTATGATGATACGGATGCCATGTTTGTTCCTTTAATAGTTAAGTTAAATTGCCTGTAATTAACAAAGTGTTCAAATCATTACAATGACTGCAAATTTATTAAGTATACTTTATCTGCTCGTAATCAATTTTAGAATTGACCAATACAACGCCGGTTGAAGGATTTATATAGAAATATCCCCCATCGTTGCCCTCGACAATGTTATAAAACACCGAGGACGATGACCTTGCTTCTATATGTGTTATGAATGATCCAATCTGGAGATTTTCGAGCATTTCTATTACAGATGTCGCAAGTGTAAATCGTGGAGGGTCGTTTTCTGACATTACGACAATAATATGAACGGGTATCTGCGATGACAAAGGGGGATTTCCGTAGTCAGTGGCCTTCACTTGAAGCATGTACTCTTGCATATGCATTATGTCCAGTGCTTGAGATATATAGACAGTACCAACAATTTTATCTATTTCGAATATATTCCCAACATTTCCGCTAATAATTGAATAAAAAATTTCTCCATTTTTACCACTGTCCCTATCCGTAGCGCTTACTTGTATCACTTTTGAGCCTACTGCAGCGCTTTCCGGAATTTTACTTTGCAACATTTTACTTGTAAATTCTGGACTATGATCATTATGATCATAAATATCAACTATTATTTTGGCATAGTTTCGTTTCGCTGGCGTTCCTTGATCCTTTGCAATTACTATCAATTCATGACGTTTATTTTTTTCATAATCCAGCTTTTGACTCACAACAACATTTCCTGTTACCGAATCTATACGAAAGAACTCCAGGGATGATGGGTCTTTTGATCCATGCAGAGTATAGAATATTTTTTTATCTTCGTCTTTGTCAAATGCATGTAGTTGCAAAACTATAGTTTCCTCTTTTATGCCTTCAGATATGTTTACGTGGTATACATCTTTTGTAAATTGAGGTCGGTTGTCGTTCGTATCGACGACTTTAATAAATAATTGCGTATTTACAATGTTGGATCCATCGCTGACTGTTATAGTTAAATTGTAAAAATTTTTTGTTTCCCAATCAAGCGATTTGGAAAGAAGCACATTTCCGTTATCATGACCAATAAAAAATGCATGGTTTTCATTTCCTCCTTAAAAAAAAAAAAAATATATATATAACAATAGAACGATAATTATATATTCAAAAAATGAATTACTGTATAATATCTTAGTGTTAATACATAACTATTAAAACGGACAACAAGAATCCTGGGAATCTGTTCATTTTAGGTATATAATGTATTAGGCAATATTGCTGATAAAAATACGAGGAAAATTTTGGCGAGTAAACAAAGACGTCTTTTTGGACCGTTTTTAAAGTATGGTTAAAAACTCCAAGTCAATATGAATATTCTTAAGACATAACTACTAAAACGCACAATAAGAAAAATTCCTCGAATCCGTTCATTTTAGGTATATAATGTATTCAGCAATATTGCAGATAAATTTACGTGGAATATTTTGTCGAGTCAACAAAGGCGTCTTTTTGTCTTTTTTTTAAATATGGTTAAAAACTTCAAGTAAAATATTATAAAAAGTTATTTGTCAAATTCCACTATAGATCCAAAGACGGCAAGAGTCTAAATCTTACCTAATTTTACTAAAGGGTTAAAGCCGTACTTCGGGTGAATTTGTGCAAAAATCTCCAAAAATCATATTTTTATAAGGATGACGTCAAAGACAAAAATACTCTTCATTAAATTTTACTATTTAATCATATTTGCATCAATCTTCATTAATCTTTTTGGTCATTTGTTCCTCAGACGTTTTTAAGAGTTGACGGCTGAAAGTAGCATACAATTTCGTTTTAGGTAGACGGTATCAAAAGAAGAAATATACTACACAATATTTGTCTATAAGTACCGGAATAATAAGTTCTTAAAAACACAAAGTGCCAAAATTTGCAAAATTAAATGTAAAACATAGCCAAAACGTGAAAAAATTATATCCAATGCGAAATGTATTACAAAATATAGAGATCCCTTTGTATATTATTAAAACTATTTTTTAGAAATAAACAAGGATTTTTATTAACTAAAATGTATGCCTATGGCGTATAGGGTAAGTGCGCCTAAGTTCGGCATGTCCCAGTAGTCGGCAGTTTTAAAATTTAAACTTAAATAACTAAAAATGGAATTGACCAAATAATGAAATAATTGCAAAGAAACGTCAACAGTGTTCTCTGCTCTCTTTCTGCAAAAAACAGAGCTCTGATCATTTATTACGAGGGAATAACGGTTTTCGTCAGTGAGTGCCGTCCAATGCGTGCGATAGCGCTTGTTTGTAAAGAAAAAAATAGCGGTGGCGTCAACTTAATAATCGATTTAAATATTGTGTTAGTTACTACGCTTATAACTTAAGAACCGATAGACTGATTTTAACGATACATACAAATTCGGAATTGTCTCCTGTCCAAAAAGGATAATATTCAAAAAAATCGCGTAAGAATGTGATATATTAACATTTTCATTTTGACTTTTGAAATGTACAATAGTAATGTTTTATTTTGCATGATTTTTTTTCCATTTTGACATACTTTTTTCTAACGTACATTTGTAGTGTTTTTTATATTTTATTTTTGAATTCGTATATTAATACCAATTTATTTAATTGACTTAATTTCTTGAGAACTGAAATTGATGTCAGGTTACATGGAAGTGTAGTAACGAATTATGTGGTGGCAAAACAGAATAGATGATATCGAAATTATTTAACGCGGTCACACCAAAGTTAAAAGATAATTACTTTTTCAAAATCGCTGAAAATCACGAAAAAAGAGATTTCATTTCAAAAATTCTCAAATCGGGGAAAAATCGAAAAAAAAAATCAATGAAATCGAATTTTAAAATAATAGTACATTCTATTGGCAAACTTTGTAAGGATCTTTAAACATTTGCTGTAAAACATCAGCGAACAGGTTGAAGATTCAATTTGTTATCTTCTTTTGTCAATTTTTTTCAATTTGTATTATCATATTGAATTCAGTGGATTTTTTGTGAACAAAATAAAGAATAATTTTTCACTATATACATTTTTTCATCAAAGAAATTAAATAAGTGCGAAATACGATGTTAACTAACATCTACCTTTCAACTCCAGGGCCGACATCGTGGTTCAGCTGGAAGATGCGAACACATTTGAACAAACAAAAATGACCGAAAAAGCCTAATGGGGCTCATTTCAAAGCATGGACCTACTTCTTTCATGTGACAATAATCCGTCCAATGAGAGCTCAAAATGCAAAATACTTTGGGAGTACAATCAGTAAAATACCAAATATAAAGGGTGGAAAATAGTACAGCGAATGGGACTCTAAGTAAGAAAGAAATTCTTCCCAAACATTCAAGATACCTTAAATCGCTTTTGCAGGTCATGATATCGTTCATAACTCACGGATAAGGGTACAACCCGATTTCATATTTATATAACCATCGTATTAATTTAGCTATTATTGGGGTCTTGGTCTTAATTTTTCGGCCCTTATTTGGCATTTTTGTTTCTAAGGAAGTAGAGAACCTCTTCGCATAAAATTTGAATTTTTTTGGAGAAGGGCCCATGTTGGTCGTGACCACATTCATCAATAGATTTGGCTAAAAAATTGTATATATGCTACCTTGGGGTTGGGAACTATCATAAAGATAATTGCCCCATAAGAATTTATTTAACTAAAGCCCCCATTGGGGTATCCCCAAGTCCGCTTTCACATCTAATGTGTGATCAGAAAAGAAAATGTTGTATTCTATTGAATTTGTAACCCGCTAGAGAATATTGGTTGGGAACGTAGATTTGGAATGTACATCTATATGAAATAAATTGTGAAAACATGAACAAATTAAAAATATAAGATAGTAGCACGGGACCGAATATTTGTTGAATCGTCATTGAATTATACTATGATGAAAAATATGGACTTTATGGGGTCTCCAACTTACAATTTAAATGGCAAATAAAATTAATTCCCATCTTACGGTAATGGGTTTAAAATAGCTATATTTTTGATTTGGCCTCTATTTGTCATATTGGATAAAAAGTGGTAGAAGAAAGTTTTCAATGTAGGTCGATGTTTCGGAGTAGTGCCCATATAATACCCATATATTTCAAAGGATTTGGCTAAAAATGTATATTTGGGGTGAAAATCTTACACAAAAATTTCAACATATTTACAAATTTTATAATTTTCTCCAGGTAATAGTACCCCCTCAAGTCCACCTTTTGGCGGACAAACAGACCGACATGGTTAGGGGGAACTTATGAGGACTCTAATGCACAATCTGAGGTGTTAATGGGTTTAAAAAAGTAATTAACTTTGGCTATTTTTAAATCATTCAGCCTTCAATTATGAGGTGTACAAAATACAGTAAATTCCAAATTACTGCTCATTTGACTGGAAAATTTTGCTACGATTTTTACCATACTAAAAATTAATTTGATCCCTTATATGGGGATAAGATTGATATGAACTTTTTAATGGATTTGTATAGCACATCCACACATTTCAAGTCCGCGGTTTAAATATTGAAGCCCACAGATTAAATATGGGTACAAGTATTTTAAAACACTTTTAATCGACCAGTACGTGAACACTTATATCAGTCATATCTGTGAATAATTATACTTTGACAAATATCCATAATAGAAAAAAACTACGGGCAGGCAACACGAACCGGGCCAGCTAGTATTTTATAATAGTAAATAACAGTCTAAAGATAATTTTATAACTTAAAAACATACATAATCAAGCATTTTTCTCTTATATTATTTAATGCCGACATTAGGAACAGAAAAAAAGACATTTGCCAGTAGTCGGCAGGGGTGCCGATTACTAGAAAAATATCATTTTTGACCTATTTCACCAAATTTTGAGAAAAGTATTTAAAAAATAATCCAAAAACTACTCAAATAAAAAAATAGTTTTGAGTCGGCGGTTGCTTTTATTTGTGCTTTTTGACCAACTTTTCTAAGTTAAGTAGGTTTTTTTAAATCAGCTATTTGACGTTTTAGATAGCGGTGGCATTTAAAAAAAAGTTGGTTATCTAAAGGAAAAATATCAATTCACAAATTCCAAATATAAGAAAGATACTTTTTTATTTAATCTCATTTTTATTTTAATTGAAAGTCCATACGTTACTGAAGGTAACCATACTATTCTTAATTTTCTACCTATATTTGATCTAGGATGATTAGATAGTTAATTAAACTGTGAATTAGTAATACAGCATTGTTTTATACTATTTGAAATGAAAAAATATACAAAATAATAATATTTTTTTTACTGAAATAGCATATGCCGTGTAGTGGCGCATATAGATTTTCAGTTGAAAAATATTAATGTTTTCTTTGGCACCCTCACAACTAGGGATTGGACAGCTCTGGTGAAGCATTGCAGTGTAACGCAATGTTAATTAACATTTAGTTACATATCACTACACATAATTACTAGATCGTACTTTTCGATCCACATGATCGCCTCTTCAACCGTTTGATCTCGTTGTTGTGAGATTCTAGTCTATAGTTTTTTTTTGTTTTGTTTGTTTGCTTTGTTACGTTTCTATTGGTTCATTACATTGATGTAATGCCATTTTTCCCTTAATGCATTCCATTAAATCTATAATGCTGTTCGCGATCGCATGTTGATCTTACTTAGCTGAACCGACTTCGAGATGTGTTATAGCTCAGTGGAAGAGCTTCTGCCTATGGACCGGGAGAACCAGGTTCAAATCCCAGCCCCGACATTATTATTATTTTTTTTTTTGTCTTTTTAATTTTTTTTATTTTCTTAATGGTAATTAAATTCATTTTGAAACATAAAATTTAATTTCAACAAATTATAGCAGATTGAAGTTCACCTTCACTTCTGAATGCTATAATATGCCATAAGGGGAAATGCTATAATTTTTTTTGATGATAGTGGTGAAACTTTCTTTAACCTTTTTTTTTTGGTATGTTCTTATTTCATACATTTGTACATGCACAACACCTCAACTGAGTGCTTTTACCATGTCTTTGTGCTAGAAAAGTCGCCATAATTGTTTTTGGAAATTTAAGATAGTATTGGTTATTCAGCCGTTTTTGATTGGTTTTAGCCGAGGAT